TTTAGGGAATGTCACTGTGCTTATTTGTGTTTTTTTTTGGCTAGGCAATGGGGTTAAGTGACTTGCCCAAGGTCACACAGCTAGTAAGTGTTATGTGTCTGAGGCTGGATTTAAACTCAGGTCCTCCTGAATCCAGGGCTAGTGCTCTATCCACTGCGCTTATTTGTTTTTTTATTGACTGAAAAAAAAGGCATTTGATTCAGTTGAGCAAATATTGCCTTATAGCACTTCCTCTAATAAATTGACTCCAGTGCATATGTTAAAAAGGTACACAATTTCTTGAAAAATGGAACAATAGTGAATTCTTTGTTGGATGGCCCTCTGATTATTAATATCACAAAAGTAATAAAACAGGAAGATATATGGCCACTAAAAGTGTTTGCCACTGTTATGAAGATGTCCAAATGGTAGTGGTATTCCTTATATATGAGAGATTACCTGGGTATTCTTTGTCTAATTGATATTGCACTATCTATTGTACTAACCACATCAAGCCCTCAAACACTGCAGAATCTTTGATTCACAATCACAATCATTAGTGACGTGTTCTAGAAAAGACCAAGTGGATAAAGAATGCCTATTGTTCAAATACATGATGTACAGTTAGATGGGCAATCCATATAGCACATTTATCTTATCAAAACAAAAGCCTTGGAAAAACACCTCACATAGACAATTGACTAGGTCCAGAATGGAGTTGGAGGGGCTGGAGAGCAGAGGAAACATATTTGATTGATTTTGTGAAGTTTTGCAGTACTCAGAATGGCCCCAAACTACCCATGAAACAAATATCTCTCTTTATAATATAGATATTTTTTGTGATAATTCTGTAATGTGTGATTTATGTAGTACCACCATCATAGAAGAATTAATTTGTAGATCATCCAAAAGGTCATGGCAAGGTACATGATGGCTCTGAGCAGGTTGCACTATATTACCAATGATGAATAATGCAGGAGATGCAGCATAAGGGTTATCATTAAAGAGAAGCATGATGACAAAAGTTGATAGAATCACTAGGGTCACATAGTAAGAGCAAGGAATAATTGATGGATAAGCTTGCATGCTCCATTGATATCCAGTCAATTTCAAAATGTAGTGGAAGGTCCTCATTATATTGGATGGGCTCCCTGAGAAGGATATAGACAGGTGATGATTGCACAGATTGAGGCAAGGTAGGTAGAGTTCAGTTTGCCCTAATCAAGGAAGTATCCTTGTCAATGGCATCACAGATCCATGAAAACGTTGAAGTTTGTGAAGATCCTGTGATAAATACTGGAAATGCAAAAACCAAAACAGTTCTTACCCTTGAGGAGCTTACGTTCCACTGGGGGCAGAGTAATTCATGTAAGAACAAGGTCAGATATAATGAGCAAAGTTCACATTTGTATAGTACTCTGTAGTTTACAAAGCACTTTTCTTCACAAGGAAGTAAAATAGGGTAGTACAAGTATCATTTCTCCATTTTAAAGATGAGGAAACTAAGGTCCAGAGAGGTTTTTTAAGCTTCAAGGAAGGAGTGTCTGGACTTGACCCCAGGTCTTCTAACTCTCATCCCAATTTCTTTTTTTTGCCACTCTGTGATTTGTCTGATTCATGAACTTTTCCATTATTAGTTTCTAATATGGCCTTAGTTTACATATTTTGGCTAATTATGTTTTGCTCAATATGATTTTTTTTGCTCAGTATGATCCAAGTTATTTTTTAATATGCGATTGAGTGTTTCCTTATTATTACAATGAGTAAGTATGATGAAATAGAATGGTTCATTGTGTATATGTTAGCTTGGAAAAAATAAACCTTAATATTAATTGAGGATGCATGTACTATAGTGGATAGAGAGCCGGCCGTGGATCCACAAAGACCTATGTTGAAGCTTCTGACACCTACTTTCTCTGTGACACAGGCAAATTAAAAAACTCAGTACCTCTAGATAACTTTATAAGATTATAGGTTACAGAAGAGTTGTTGATATGATTTAGTGGAGGGAATTTTCAAACTGAGAGATACCTAAATAGATGAAATCACAGGTTAGGATCCAAAATAAAATACAGAATTTGAGAGGTGCTTTTTCTAAATCTAGGGCTAATATTAAACTCTTTCCAAATATAGCAGTAAAATAACCCATTGTATTGAGCTCACTTACCTTTTGGGATATTCTACAAAAGCTTTTCTTTGACCTGTAGTATCTTAAATGCTTAACTGAGTGTCCTTTGTAGGTAAATAATCTTAGATTTAACACTTTTTATTTGAAAAGCCTCTTTGGATCTTTAATCATTACCTCTTTTCATATCTTTTTGTCCCTTTCCATCACTCATGTTTCTTTTATGATTAAAGTTAAAATAGAAACATTACAAAAGAATTATGGAAACCATGAGTCGCAAGGGAACTTAGAGGCCATTTGATCCAATCCCTAACTGACCAGGCACCACTTCTTCAACACCATTACTCATCTCTTCTTCCTCTCCTACCAGCTCACCCATAACCTAGGAACTTCTATGGAGTTCCATCATAACTCTGCTTTATAAGAGGCTGTTTCCTGCTCAGAGGGTTTAGTTTTCCTCTCTACAAGAAGACCCTTATGACTTTTCTCTTTCTTTTCTACATCATATTATTTCACCTTCCATCCTTCTACTGTAAGTTAGGATTGCCCTTTGCTACTTTCATCCTTTGTCTTCTTTATATTCTACTTGAATTGACATGTTCATTTCTTTCAAGGGACTCTTCATTCCCCTGGGATGCCTGAAGAAATGCAGTTTTCCTGTTCTCTAGTTCAGAGGCAAACTTGCTTATTTTGTATACATTGGTTCTATTTGAGAATGGCAGAAGCACAAACATGGCACACTTTTTGCAAGTTACTGCAGCACTGGCCTTACTTTTTATACTTGTTTGAAGTGAAATTTTTAATACTTTCCCTTTTGAATTCCTCTTAGTTTACTTTAAAAATTAACTACTAGGGTGAATTATCTGATTACTTTATGTATTCACTGTTCTGCAGGATATATTTTATAAATTTTGGGACCATACTATCCTATAGAATTTATTTAGAAGGTAGATTCATACAATTTTATATTTTAGTGTTACAAAGAATTGTTTGCTCTTGTAATTTTTTTTTTTTGGAACAAGAACAAAGACTAGGCTGGTCTAATATAAGGTTCATTATTTGTGAACTTCATTGATACTTAGTGGTCTGTAGGAGAGATTAATAATATTTTTTTTTCTCCTGAATTCGGTTTACAGGGATATCTGTGTCACTGAGTACCACTGGCAATTAAAAGAACCAGGCCACAGAAAATGAGCTAGAGGGAAAGGAGAGAGGGAGAAATGGATAATTCCATTCTATTTCCATTTCCTGTTCCCTTCAGTACCCTTCCTTCCCCTTTCTTTTACCTTCCCATCTTGTAGGTCAGAGTAGGTGGGAGGGAGAAAAAAATGCTTGATAAGTGAAAAAATATTAAAAACAAACAACAAAACAAAAATGGATATGTATTTGGGCAGATGATTTGAGGGCCTTGAAGCTGGGTAGAAGTCATTTAGGCCAGTTTTCATAAGGTTTTCCACACCTTCATTCTCATTCCCAAATTATGCTCTTCATTCCTATTACCCTAGTCAGGAATGACCACCTGTCTAATTTATCTGTACAAATCCTTCCATTCTTCAAGTCCAAACTTAAATAATACCCCCCTTCCTGAAGGCTTCTTCTATCTGTATCCTCACTCTCCACCCTGGGGCCTAGTGTTTTCAGAGTAATTTTATATCACTTCCCTTCGCATATTCTTTCCTCCAGGCAAACAAATTCCACAAGTTGTTTCCCAGACTCAATATTGTGTCTCCCACATTTTACGCCCTTCTGACTGCATGGTCCATTCCTCTTAGAATCCCCAGTTTCCTTATAGCCTCAGTTCAGGTGCCACCACCAATGGGAAGCCTCTCCCTTTCCTACATGCAGTAGTCAATATCCTCTCCCTTCTAAAGTTACTTTATGTTTATACATTTAGTATACAGTTTTGCATCACCCTAGTATAATTTAAGTTCCTTGAAAGCAATGTCTCTCTTTTCCTTTGTTTTTGCCTTTGTAGGACCAATGCCTCGCACATAGCAGCCCCTTGTAATTGTTTATTTGAATTGACTTAGATGAGAGTTCAGAGTTTTGGGTTCCCATGCCTGTTGTTAATTTCATGTGATTCTGTGTGTGTGTGTGTGTGTGTGTGTTTGTGTGTGTGTGTACTTATAAGGAAAATGAATAGCAAATAGTTTACTAAAAGCCTGCTTGTTGTTTGCACATTATGTTCAGGCCATGGGGGAGTCCAGTTTTTGGTCCATATTATTAAATATCTTTGATGTTTCTTTGTGAATGAGTAATGTCTGTTTATATCCCTTCTTACCCAAAAGAAAGAAATTAAACTGAATTATAAGTAGGTTATTTTTCTGTTTTAAAATAAGAATGGATTTGTTTTTTTCCTCCTGCTTTTTCTGAAATTCTGCCATGTTGGGCCACATGTATTCCTGATATTCTTGTACCCTAAGGATAGCAAGTCCAAGCATACTACAAAGGGCCATGTCCTTATTGTCTGTGTCATTTGGTGCAAAATGTTAATTGGAGAGTCAAGTGCTTGAGACAAATTTTTGGGGAGAGTGTTTATTGGGAGATTTAATTTTCTCATCTCCAGAATAAAATGAGGTGCTATACTTGTTCAAGGCCATAGAATTATCATAGTTCAGAGATGAAAGGGACATATAATCTAAATCCATAACCCCTAACTTGACTGATGAGAAAACTGAGGCCCAGAAACTTTACATGACTATCCCAAGGTCACATGACTAATAAATGGCATGGCTGAGGCTTGAAGTGGGACACCTCTGCATTATATTGCCTCTTTTCAATTGATCTCTAATTTTAAAAGAGTTATCCAGGAGACAAAGAGTTGAATACCATTATTCTAGCATCTGATCTTTGTTTCTTCTCTCCCTACCTGCCCTTACTTGTATTTTCATTTTAGAGGGCTCCTGAAATATCAAACTAATCTCGATGCACACCCTCCTGGCTGCCTCAGTCCTAATAGAACTCGCCACCTGAATATTTCCCTGCCAGAGTATTTCTCGGAGCACGTTCCTGAACCTTTCCCTGGAGGATTTGTAAATCCTGAGCTGTTTATACAGAACGAGTTTGTGAAAATCTGTGCAGAGGAGCCCAAGTTCCAAGCAAATTTTCCTCAGGTCAGCTTAATCCTATATTTTTTGGTCATGCCAATGTTTCTGGCTGTGGACATTGCTCCAGGTTGTGGCCAGATTGTACTGATCACTTGGTCATATTGAAGAAATACACGTGTTTTTGTAATATTTTGTACTGTGAGTTAAAACTGTGCTGATTATGAGACTGGGTGGGATCCTTAGCAGTCTGTCTTTTTAAACCAGTGACTAAAACTAATAGGATTGTGCATGGATGACTGTTTCAAACAAAGAGTTGCAAAGGCTCCTTTCAGTTCTAGCCTATTTCTTTTACTATGTATAAATTCCTTCACTGGATACTTAGTTTCATCCTTCAAAAACTCACTTTTGCTTTGTTTTCAGCAAACAAACTGATGAGGAAATGTGCTTGTCTAGGCACAAAGATGATGGAATCGTGATATTTTTCGGTATGATCTATTTGAACCTTGTCATTAATGGCTCAACTCCATTGTGTTTCAATTCTTGTATTGTACCTGGACCCCATCTTCATTCCTTTTCTGGCTAAAACCTAAATGTTTGCTCTCTGATTTCTTTGACAAATATACACTATCTTCCATATGGTATGTTACCATGTTTTCTTGTGAACATTTTCCTCTGGAAATTGATTTAAATTTTTCTGGATATTTTCAGTCCTTGGTTCACTTTACCAGCCCTTATACTTCATGACTCCAGCTGGAGTAGAATTACTTTATGGTGGAGTGGTGCCATGTAGTGCCATCTCTGAAGCAAAGATGAGTGTGCCAGTGCTGCTTGAACACAAATTGTAAAGTCCCTGAGAATTGTCTGGAGGGTTACTAGGAAGACAGAGTCTCCACCCCACCCCCACCCCCCAATTGGGCTGATGTGTGCGTATCTTCATGACTACAACTCAAAGGAATCTCAGAGGTCATTAAGTTCAGTTTCTCTTGGCCTTTTAACCTTCCTCATTTTCCCTGTCTCCCAACTCTGGCTTTATTTGCCCCAATAATCAGTCTTGATTCCATGGTCTGCCAGTTTAATGTTTCACGAGGTCCCACCCTTGAATCTCTTGCTCCTGTTAATATTCTAAAAATTTTAACCTGCTCATCCTAGCTTCTGGGGCACCCTTTCATCCTCGTTGTCAACATCCACATCTGTTTCTCTGTTTTCCTGGGTTGCTAAGCATAGCTGAAAAAGTCCCGAAATCAAGATAATTTCACCCAATACAATTTCTGGTATTCACCACCTCTGTCCCTTTGCCTCCCTAGGCTATTCCCCTTGTTTGGAATATAATCTTGATTTATCTCTGCCTCTTTTAATTCCTAGGTTCCAACAAATCTCAGCTCAAGTGCAACTTCCTACGTGTGCTCTTTCCTGATCCCCCTGGCGGCTAGAGCATTTCCACCCTCTCCTCCACAAATTACCTTTAATTATTCTTTGTCTGTCTGTCTGTCTACCTATCTATTTATCTATCTATCAATCATATATAGAGGGGAAAATTTATGTATATAGATGTAGATATATATTTATATACATATCTATATAGATATATGTCTACATACATATCCATTCTATATATGTTTTCCATAAATATATATTTGGAATATATATGCATACACATACTATATATGTATATATATGTGTATATATATACATATATATGTAGAGAGAGATTTCTCTCTACCTATATATAGCTCATATATCTATCATTTATCTATTTATCTATCTATCTATCTATCTATCTATCTATCTATCTATCTATCTATCTATC